TAATACATGATATACATGTAATAATACATGAATAATACATGGCAAAATTTTTTTCATGTATTATCCCATCCCTAACCCCGACTCATATTAATATAACATTAGGTGTGAATAGCAGGTATGTGTAGAAATTACATGATACTAAACTTGGCATTTTTACACTCAATTAACACTCGTGTTAAGTAAGGATATAAAGTTTATATTATAAACCTTTTATTGTTTGGGAATACAATACAAAACATGTTTACAAATAGCAAAATATGATTTAATTAAAAAAATTTCTCTGAAAACTTGAAATTAAAACATAAGTTCGAGCAGTGTTTCGGTGCAGTCAAAGGTATTGTCGATGAAAAATAGTTTCCGTTTTGGAGGTTTGTTACATATATAATGGGGTGTCTGTGCGGGTGAAGAGGGGGTGAAGCGGGACTTGAAATGAGTTTGAGTTATAAAGGATTTCGAGTTTGAGAGGGTTCGAGATATACAATATGAAGTGTATCTATGATATCAATATTTGTGTCAATACTTGTATTTAGCCCGACATCCATCACCATTTAGTAAATCATTGTTTGCGACAAATATAATCAAAACAATAATGCCTTTAAAACTTGTTAACACTTTCAATAAACCTATCAAAACCCGTCAAACCATTATGATAAAAAGTACAGCAAATATAGTGTTAGCAAATAAACAATCAATGTTTCTAATATAACTTAAATTACCGGTAAATCATATTAAAAGTGATAATAACTGTATATTTGAGTTAAACGAATTAATGATATTTCAATTTAAAGTGTTTACCTCTCAATGTTTAACACTTTATGCATTATTTCCAATTATCTTAAAGTTTTAATACCTTATTATGCAATACAGTAGTGAACATTGTGTTGAGTATACCATCTGCACAGTTATATGATAGCATAATAGTGTGAGTACACGTATGTGAGCCCGGCTAGCTCAGTCGGTAGAGCATGAGACTCTTAATCTCAGGGTCGTGGGTTCGAGCCCCACGTTGGGCGCAATCTTTTTTCTTTTAACTATATTCAATGTAACACTAATTCTCTTTTACAATTCATTTATGTAAAACATATTATTATAATTATATTTAATTTAATCATAATTGTGACCAACAATAATGTTTGTATTATATGTCCCCAATTAACGTCAAAACCAGAGTAAATATCTACGATATTATAATAACAATATCAACAAATTATAATTGAATTTGTGACACAATATATTGTAAAATAAGATTTTTATTTTTTTAGTGCAATAATTAAATAATTTCTAAATTAAGTGAATATAGAATTGATTTTATGAATCGTTACAATAAAATATAATTAAATGAAATTCAATTGTTTTGCAGTAAACACTGAATTAGTGGTGAAATAGACAAAGAGATCAATTCAATAGATCTGTGGACTCGAGTTCTCCGAACTGATCCAAACTAAACAGATTGGAAGGATTGACAGCATCGAGACCTAGAGAGGCGATGTCGTCCATTGTCTGAAACAATTCCGGTTCAGTCGGCAGTGATTCCAATTGATTCGACTCCTCTTCGTTCTGCTCCTAAAAACAAGACAAACAATCATTACATCAAATCTTATATCAACTCCACCTCTGAGTTAAAACTGTGACAATTTTGATAATTGAATCCATTCTAACCATTATATTGTCGATATCTTTACTGTCAGTCTTGAGTTGTTTGTGTTGAACACATGTATTCTTGTGGACAAAAGAGATGACAGGAGTCAGACAGGGAGGAGAGCAGTGGCCGTCACTGTTCTTCTGCACGTAAGCACACGGTCTGAACAGCACTTGATTCACATCGTATAGTATATCTGAATATAAATTTATAAATAATTACAAAATAAACTCAAATAAAGCGACAAACATTCAAATCATACGTTTTTGACAGTAATGAGAGAGCGGTAGTGACCTATCGGTGCAGACCTCGTCTCCCTTAGCGAAGATACAGACGGCAAAAGTGGGCGCTTTATAGTGAGTGCCCTCAACGACAGCCTTTCGTTTCTCATTAGATTGCTGTTTGAGTAGCGCTTCCGCGCCGTGCGTTCGCTGGTATCGCCACAAAGCCTTCAACTTCTGGTAGTCCTCTCTCTCCTGTTTGAGACCATTGTTTTGTGACATCGTTTGCGAAATACTCTTAATTCCTTGGATGTCCTTCTCGTGTCCCAAAGACATCAAATACTTTTTCTTCTTCTCTTTCAGCAAATACTGGAATCGTTTGAATTGTTCGATATATAGGGACTGAAGTCTCAACATCTTCTCGCGTAATATCAGTGACACCTCTTCGGCGGCGTAAATGCCCGCGTGTTTCAGCGGTTCCTCGTTATTGCTGTCCACAGACTCCGAGTCGGAGTCCAACGGATCGGAACGCAACACGTCGTCGACCATAGAGTGCGGACAGTCGTCGCCGTCCAAAGTGGTGCTCAAGTTGGCCACCGATTCCGCCATTTTCTTACGCAAGTGATCGCTGGCAGTGACGCTCTGGTCGTCGAGTTGTACCCAATCGAGTGCCAGCCGTCGCGAGTCGTGGCCAGTGTTGGGACAGAAGTGCTCCAAATCGGTCATCAATTGGCGCAACTCTTCGTTGCGTTTGTGGTGTTCTTCGCACTTAATGCGGATCTGTTGAATGGCCGCCTGTTTGCGCTTGAGGTACAGCTTCTTGAGATGCCACGGACACAGAGTGCTGTCCCGGCGTTCCGTACGTCTGGCGGCGTTCGGACACCGTTTGCCGGACTGCGGATGAATATACGAACACTGTCTGAATGGCGCGGACCTGTCCTCCAGTATATGACGGATGCAATAACTGAATCCTTCCAAACGGTTCTGAAGACATATGCGGTGGACGTATGAACACAACTGCTGTTGCGAGGACTCCACGCGGGATCTGCTCTTCAGTTTGGCGCCCAATCGCTGCCCAGAGTTGAGCCGATACTGAATGGCACCCGAATTGAGGCCATTGTTGGCAGTCGTCGGCCATTGGTTTCGGTTAGACATCGATGTCTTCAATGATGTCTTCAATGCAGTCAACCATTGGTTGTATTTATTTGTGAATTGTTTTTGTGTTTTGTTTTGAAAATGCGTTCAATATTTGCGACACTTTTTCTCACATAAAAACTGTTCACAAATTAAGTGACGATTTATTGATTCATTTCAACGCAAAACACGTTTTATTTGATTCAATAAATAAAATAAAATCATTTCATAATTTGACAGACATTTGGCGGCACTGATTGGCAACGCGGGCGACAATTAAGAGCTGATCCATTGGGTGATAGTATGCCCTAAGAAGTGGTTTGGTGTATGACGTGGTGTGTGAAGGGGTGGTAAGTGTCGGCCATTTTGAATGACTCGATAACTTCCTAAAAGCTGGTGACAGAGGGAAGTGTTGGCCACCGATTGGACACCGGGTTTAGGGACACCGTCTGAGGCGATGGCCGGAAGCGATCGCTGGTATTTCGACAAACAAGTGCTCGCAAACACTCCCTCCCGAAGATGTGGCATCGATTCCGACAAAGAGCTCTCCTATAGACAACAGGCGGCGAATCTGATCCAAGATATGGGACAACGACTGCATGTGTAAGCGTTTTGAGCCAAACACTCACTGGCGGTGTCCTCTCATTGACACTCATGTGTACTCACGTATTGTCTCCCAATTAGATCCCAATTATGTATAAACACAGCCATTGTTTATATGCATCGGTTCTATACGTTTCACTCGTTCACCAAATTTCATCGAAACGTGAGTTTCTGTCAATCCTTTGGGTGACCATTGAGTGCATGTATTGATGGTGTGATTGGTTTGCAGTCCATCTCGAGTTGCGCTCTGTTTCTGGCGGCCAAAGTGGAAGAACAGCCCCGAAAGTTAGAGCACGTGATTAAAGTGTCGCACATGTGCTTACATCGAGACATACCCGCCCTCGACGTGAAGAGTGAGGTAATAAAAACCCGTCCATCGATTTGTTGTCCATTATTTGGATCACTGTTTCATGTGTTATGTGTGGGTCTGTAAAGGCCTATAAGGAACAGGCGATGGAACTGGTGTTCAATGAGAACCTCATGCTTCAGACCCTGGGATTCGACATCGCTGTCGAACACCCGCACACTTCGGTCGTCAACTGTTGCCAACTGGTCAGAGGTATGTCTTCACACACACGTCCACTCATGCGTTCATATGTCTCATTGTGTCTACTCTTTGTGATTTGTATAGCGAGCAAAGACTTGGCGCAGACCTCATACTTCATGGCCACTAATAGTCTTCACTTGACCACAATGTGTCTCCAACACAAGCCTACAGTCGTTGCCTGCGTTTGCATACACTTGGCGTGCAAGTGGTCGCGTTGGGAGGTATGCGTTCATTGTCTCAACTCTTCCATTGCTTTTATTAATCGGTTCGTTAAACCATTAGATCCCGCGATCGAGCGAAGGCAAAGACTGGTTCTACTACGTGGACACTAGCGTAACATTAGACCTCTTGGAACAGCTAACGTCTGAGTTCTTAGCCATTCTAGACAAATGTCCCTCAAGACTCAAACGTAAGGTAATCACACACACCAGCGGTGGTGGTAGTAGTGGAGGCGCCACCCATTCGGGTGCTCACAACTCATCGCTCAATAAATCAATTGTAAGCATTTGAACGTAAATTTGTTTCGTTTTGAATTGAATATAATGTTTGTATGTATTGTAAGGACGAGAAGAGGAGTTCAATGCATGTAAAGGAAGAATTAAAGTCACCGATGGTTTCGAAGTCGAGTTCACATCATCCGAGCGATAGATTAGAGAAGATGTCGACTCCGAACCCAACGACAAGTCGTCGATCGCCTCCCACTTCGCCGCACACTAGGAAAGTGAAGGTCGAGCCGACCAGTCATCAGCCGAATCAACCCTTAAGCAGACCTCCCGTCTCAATGTCTTACGCGGCGTATCGGGAAAGGAAGGCAAACACTCAACACGACTGTCCAAAACCGCCGCCAATTCAACCCAATAAGTCATCAATACATCCAACAAATCGTGATAACCCTTCAAATCCCCAAAAGGAGAGAATATCTCCGAAACAATTACTAACAGATAAACAAAGACAGAGCGAAGAAAGGCATAAACTTAAGCCCAAAACTAGTGAATATTTATTTGAAAGCAGTAATCGTTCGTCGATTGCACCCAAACCGACCGCTTTGTCCTCAAATCCAAAGTCTTCGCAAAATAATACTAACGAAGATTTCTACGATCTGTTGAACAAACCGTCGAGTTTTAACTCAATCTTCTCCAACGATGGCGACGACTCACTCGACTTCAAGCGCGACGTCGTCTCCAACCTTCAGATGGAGTTCTCAGACAATTCTAATCAATCGACTGATGGCTTAAATTTAAGCTCATTTCCAGATTTTATGAACGATTCTTCCGATTCAAAGAAGAGCTTTATTAATACCAATAATAATAATAGTATTAAAAATAATATCAAATTAGAAACCGAATCAGAAGCAAATCAGACGAGTTTTATGTCTATATTCTCGGCGCCGGTAACGACAACACACGCCATAACCCCCACCACCGCCTCAACTACAGCTCATACGAAGTCAGACAATACAAAGACAAACATTCCACAGAAATATAGTGATGTTTTATCCCGTATTAAACCCGAACCCCTGCCACCGATGTTGAGTCCACTCAAGTCTATGGCGGATAACGAGATGGTTCCCAAATTGGAGAAACCGTTTGCATCGCATTCTTCTTTAGCTCAAACTCATCTCAAAACTAATTCTAATACAGAATTGGATCTAAAAACACATCAAAATTCAAAAATATCTAAATCTTCACCAAAATTCCAAAACTCCTTAACTCAGCCACAAAAGGGTTTTGTTGGAAGTGTTGTCCCGACTTTCAAAGACAAAGAGATGAACGAAAGTCTGCCTAATATTAAGTTGGAAACGATGGAAATGCAGCCATCGATTGGAAACTTAAATAAAACTCAAAACCCGATGACTATTATTAACACAAATGTAAACGATTTGATTAATAGTAGCGAATCGTTAGCACCGCTTCTCATAAAGCCTGAGAACAGAGAGAAATCTTTAAAAGCAGTGGAAATTCCGTCCGTTTTGAGCAAAAATAGGCCGCAAATGAGTAGTAATTTAGAAAGTGATGTCAAACCAAATGTCACTCTTTTAGGAGATCCCAAATTGACACTTAATTTAAGTCCAAATCAACATATATTAGTGAATAACACAAGCGTTGTCTCTGATATGACTAAACATCCCGTTATACCCATTAAAGAATCAAAGGATAAGAGCAGTCATTCGACACCAGAGGAGAAACACCACAAACGATCACATCATTCACATAAGAGTAGTAAACATAGAGATAAACATAAACACAAGCATAAAGATAAGGATAGGGAACGCCATAAACACAAAGATAAAGACCGGGACAGAGACCGGGACAGGAGTGGCGACGACCCGGCCTTCAAGATATCGTACTCCGCGTCTAAAGACAAGGCCGACATCTCTAACAACAACTCCAATACAGCGCCCATTAAACTGAAGATTTCCAAAAAGAAGTTAAGTATCGATGAAATTGAGTCTTCGGATAAGACTGAAGAACCCGTTCAACAAAATCCGCTTAAATTAAGAATTCAATTGAAAGATGAAAAATTTACGACAAATGCCACCGATTTTCAGTCAAATGACTCCAATTCCGGACGAAAACGAAAATCGACGTCAAGTCCAAAGTCTAGCAAAAAGGATAAGCAATCGAAACATGAAAACGAACCTAAAGTTAAAGAGAAATCTTCAAAGTCTAAGAAATCGAGCAGTGATTCCAACTCGAAGAAGGGCTCTAATCATATGATTTCGTATGACACGAATGCCACACAACAGCAGTTGTTGAACCCAGAAATAGTGCCGGCATTTAACGTTCCCATTATTCAATCTCGTCCTCACAAGACTCACAAATAAGGGTTGAGAAGCGAAACCACTGACAGTTGGTCTTTAGGTCGGCTTTTACTGTCATTTGTTTGACTGATTCGTTGAGTTGATTGCAATTTCTTGTTATGAATGTAAATATTAGTTAAATTGTAGCGAAATTGTAAACAATATAATAATTACAACAAATTAAAGGTTAGAAAGACATGCGATCTTTGGTTTTTATCAATATATACCGCGACCCATGAATTCATGTCATGTATTTTGACTCAATTTGTAATTTAATTTAATATATTATTTACGATTTCCTTAATATTTACCAAAATTTATTTACGAATTTATTGTAATTTTAATTAAGCTATCAATTCATTACAATTATATTGTTTTGTTAAACATTGATTTCCAATAATAGCTTAATTGTAAACGAAATGTAATTATATTTAAGAAAATAAAAAGGTTTACAATTGTTTTGCAAGAAAATCAGTTTATTATAAACAATACTTTATATATTGTAGATATGAGGCTATCATTCAATTTGTCTTTTAATTATTAGTTAACATTTAAGTGACAATAACTTATGATAAGGTAATTGGCTTTAAATATAGAATACTATATACAGTAGTATTTGAGTGAATGTTATGTGATATGGATTGAAGTGTTGAGAAGACAACACAAGTCTTATCTATGAGTTTAATACAATGAATGAGAATATTAAATATAGTGAACAGTATTTCCATAGTTTTTTGTTTGTCTAACGAATGGGAAGTTTTGTTAAGTGTGTCTCTCATCTCATCTAAAATACAAATTCCCAATTATATAGACGTGAATGCATTGTAGTGTCAGAAGCCGTAGGAAAAGGCAGTGAGAGAATGAAGGGGAGAGAAGGAGAGCTGTATTCACACATTCATGAAATCAGTCTCTTTTTGATGTCTGGAAATTAGATTATGATTGTGTTTGCGATGTTTGCGATGGCATCTGTGCTGTCGTTTTACCACTCTTTACGTCTATTTATGTCTCTTTATTCGGTGTTGTGTTGACTAACGGTATTAAAAAAGAGAGCTATAGTTGCAAATTGAGACCCAATTTTCGATGAAAAGTAAACGAGAAATCAATTGCTGACAAGTCTTGATGGCTAACATTTAATCCCAGTTATGACACAAAAACTCCGATAACAAACATTTGAGTCCAAATATAAGGCCATATAATTTTCATATAGCGCTCAAAATCGAGACTCTGATAGCAATCACGAAAGAGCTTAATAACCAAATCTACTAAATATAAAGTAACCAAAAATACAGGACTTTTCTTATCTACACTACTATTATATAATATTCATATTAATATAAACGTAATATTGATATTACTTTTACAATAAGATATTGTCTAATATTTTATGAATGATGTTTGCACAGGAAATATGATTTGCAATGAGATAGTGATTGAGATCATAAATGCACGGATCATGTATGGCATAGACTCGATTGTGTACTTCACTGTACAGTGGAATACGTGTTGTAAACAGTGTTTCATTCATAAGATTCAAGTGATGCCCACATATGTGTCGATTTCATCGAAATTATTAAACGGCTATCAAAAGCACATTTTGTTGTAACCAAGAGTTTCAGTAGCTTTGATCCCATACTTCCCATACTTCTCCCAATACCTCTCCTAACTCTCCCATACCTTTCAAACAACATTATTAGCCAAAGAATAGCTGATAAGTGGTGTTTGAATGAGAGCTGCTTTCGATTAGATATTAGTTGGCATTTGATTGTTATGTTGAAAATACTCTCATATTATATCACTTATGATATGAATTATAATGATTGACAGTTTTGTGACATATTTTTAGCTCTGCTTTCCATTCATTTACAACATTTCACTTCTAAAATCGTTATATACTTTATAAACAGTAGTCAACTATCGGTTAAGTCTTAAGCTTAACATATCATTAAGGCTTAACTTATTGCAGATTAAATAGTGATAAATAAATCACAACTGAAATCCAGGAATTAGTGGATCAACTGATATCTCGGCAAAATACCACTCCTTTTGTTAATTTACAACATTTTATTGGTTTCTTAGGCTTTAAATACGAAAATAAAACACTTATTAAATTGCATTAATTCTCTTATTCAACGCAATTCCGTATATCTATTAAACAGTTTTATTGATTTATTATTTAATTTTCCTTATTTATAGACAATTTACAGATTAAATCGTGATTAATATCACATCCAATTCTTATTAAATTCTGTCATTAATTTCTCAATCTATCATTTCTGTAGAAACAAATCATATTTGTTATTACATAATATCAGGCATTTGTCTCAACATATCTCAACTAATATTCACACGAATTAACTATTATTTATTAACTTTAATTCATTGTATTATAGTATTAATGGACAGATGATTATTAACAACTCTATTAATTAAGTGATATAACGGAACTATTATTTCATATTTGATACATTACTTTATATTTTGATGAGTACATGAAATATAAAATAATATCAAATTTGTCAATAGTTTTATTTAATATAACAAATATGATTAAATACGGGAAAATGAGTTCATAATGTTTGCTGTAAACTAAAAAACTTTAATTGAATGAATCGATGAAATAGAGAGAAAGAAGAGAGGGATGTGCTGTCGGAATATACTGTACAGTGAAGTAAACTGTTGTACAGTTATAGCAGCAAAATCTCAAACGTTTCATTTTATTCTGATATTCTTTTACTGATTTTGAAGCAAAAAAAACAAATTCTTTAACTGGAAATGACATAAAACTAAATTTACAACATAATTGTGCCGTTAGAACACAGTTTCAATATGTTTCTAATTACAACAATTTTAACACAATTTAAGATATCTTTACAAAGAGTTAAAATTTAATTAAACAATTGTTTCATTTAAGAGATTTGAAATGATGTTTTTAACACTTTAATTAAGGTAAAGTGAATTGGTTTTTGTTGAGATTAAATTTAATTAACAGTCAATAAGAATGTTATCAATTAATGTCTATTTATGATTGCAGTAATAAATTAGTGAAAGAAATAACAGATACTTATCCATGAAATAAGGCATATAATAAATTGTTATCATAATTGACACTTCAGTCCAAAAGAGCAGTTAATTAGATATAATATATTATGCTCTCTCTCTCTCTCTCTCTCTCTCTCTCTCTCTCATTTTATAATAAAATTGCTAAAAAGACAAACCAATTCACTAAATGGTCGAAGTAAGCCGTCGACTGCTTTTTCGGTATATGATCTCATCTTTTCATTGTTTGCATTCAAGTCAGCTTTAATTCCTATTGTTTGCTCGATAAACACTACATAGAGCTCTCTCTCTCCATACAGTAGAGATTGACATCAGAGGTGCGCAACACTGGTATATAATAAGTCTTATATAACATTAATGTATATTAATATACTGTAGAGACAAATGAGTCTTTGGCCACAAAGGAATTACAAAAGTTTTTGAATACATAATTAACACAAACACATCAATCTTCTCATTAGAGTATTTAATAAATAAAAATTATAATAACTTTCTATAAATGAATTATAAGTCAAAATTAGGTTTCATTTTCAAATGAAATACTTGTTAAGGAATTATTCATTGATTATGATATTTGCATTTATCTAATATACACTATGTATTGATTTTATCAAAACGGAAGGCAATTATTATGTCTTCTAATTTAGATAATGAGAAAACAAATCAATTACTAGTTTCTAAGAACTATTACATTACAGTAGCAAACAATTTGGTGATAATTTATTATCAATTAATTGCGACAAAAAATGAGTAGACTTTTACTAGAATTTTGATTTATTGCTCAAAATGATTAAGAAATTAGTTTTTTAGTTAAATATTTGAGTGAATTTAATATAAAAACTCACTTGAATTGATGCTAATTTACATGACAATAGGTGTGATTTATTATATTCTGAAATAATGTAAAACTTATGAGTTATATAATGGTAACCGTAAAGAATTGGGACATTAGTTTGTGCTGTTCTCTAACTCTGTTACAGACTTACAGTGCATTATAAATGTATGGATTTGTGAGCACAGAATCGTAATGATATAGCGATAGATTAGGTATTGTTGTGCTGATCGGATACTAAGCATAAACTTATTAGAGATTGTGTGCAGAAAAAAACAGACACAAAAGACAAGGAGAGAGCGACTCGAAGACTATGAAATAGAGGTCTCACTTCACAAGTGATGCCAATTTAGGTTTCAGTCAACATATAATCGCGATTTACAGCCCAATCATCATTGATTCAAAGGAGGACTCACTGAAAGCCATTTGAGTCCAGTTTAGCGCATATTATCACTACAATTGTTTCATTGAAGGCGGAGTCTAACGATCCAATCGCAGAGACGGCAGCGAAAGATGCGATTAAAATACAATTGTTTGGATACTCTCTAAAGTTGTCTCTTATAGAAAGTTATTGTAGTTTTCAATACAATCTGAGAAAACATTTTACAACAAATTCAAAAATCAATTAAAGTCTTGTTTCAATCGTTTCAATCATAATGTTATCGCCTTCTAGTCATCCAAATAGTACTTCTGCCTCAGAATCGGAGACTTTGTCGCCAACAAACATGACTACATCCAAGTCCTCCGCTTCTAACTTCTGTATCGATGCACTTCTGGCCCGAGAGGACCACATCCTTAAGAGTCCACAATCGACAGCATCCTTGAGCTCAAGTTCGAGGGCATCGCCGCCTATGAGTCCGGACGACGTCCACTCTTCGTCGAGTCCGATGTCGAGTCCGGCGCTAATGAACGGAACAATGCACAGCAGTTCCCGCGGAACGCCCGCAGACAACGAACACATGAGACAACTCGAGTTGAGGACACCCCCAATGTCTTCGCTTTGGTCGCCCCGTTCATCAAATCTTCAGATGTGCTCCTCATTAGGTTCTGGTGTTCACTCTCATCACAGCAATACTGCGGCCGCGGCCGCCATGTCTTCACTATTTTCATCGGCCAACCCATCGGGTCATCCATTATATGCGGCGATGTATAACCAAACTCACGGACCGCACGCAATGAACTCCGGGCCGAACGGGTCGTCACCGGGTATTCCAATGCTTCACAGCAGCGCTTTTCACTCACCCTTTCATGATATGAAAGGCCATTCAGGAAGTGGCGGCGGACTCCCCATTGACTGGTTAGCCCGCGCCGGACTCCTTTATCATCGCTCCTCTGGTAA